AGATGCCCTACACCACCATGTGCATCAAGGAGTCGCTGAGACTCTACCCGCCGGTGCCCGGTATTGGCAGGGAGCTCAGCAAGCCCATCACCTTCCCTGATGGACGCTCCTTACCGAAAGGTAAAATCAGGCCGTATCAACCCCCAAGAGCACACAGAAAGTCAGAATTCAACATGTTCTAGAGCAGGTCTAGACTTCTCTGGATATTGTTTCCGCCTTGAGAAAGTCAATGCTTAGCCACAAGAATGAGTTATGAAATGCGAGCAGGTGTCCCAGCAAAGGACTGTTCCTCCAATGCCGCCTCTGAGCGTGTTCTTGGAATTTAGCGCTCAGATTCTTATTTGTTGATATAATAGGAATAAACAGGGGTAGGGAGAGTTGTGTTTCTCTCCCTTTTTTCTGCTCCATGGTCCAGTGTCTGAGGAGCCCACAGGTTGATGCAGGAAGCAGCAGATCCCTGGGCTTGAATTCCTACCAGGGTTCAGGAAGTCTGTGGCTCACACCCAGTGTTCATTCCCATCCTGCCATATCCTCGCCGTGAGATATTGGATGAGCCACTCCACCTCGCTGAGACTAAGGTGCCTTATGAGAACAGTGGGGATATAAGTGTTTTCCTTGAAAGGTCATGGTGATTCAATGAGTTAATACATATTCTCCATGGATGCAACTGATACATGTGAGTTGTCCCTAAGTCTTCCAAAAGGCAGCCTTCAGTTCTTTCCTGCTTCTCCGTCCGAGCGCGATGGTCTAGTCCTCGCTGTGCACAGGTGCTTTGCCACATCCTCCCCAGCTTTCTTGCAACAGGAGTTTCTCACTCAGAAGAGTTACTCTCATGGTAGCTGCCACGACTTCGGAGCATGCACGGCCTGCTTTGGGCTGGGGATCGAGACCCCACCAGACCATCAGACTTTGCCCTCCTCCCTGCCCACAGGATTCACAGTGTCACTCTTCATTTATGGGCTGCACCACAACCCAAAGATGTGGACAAACCCAGAGGTATGATGACCACGTGGTAAGGGGACTTCTACTCCCTACTCCCCCCTACACCCCCTACACCTCCCTCCTGCTCCCACCTAGAGTCCTAGCCCCTCACGGATTGGAAGGAGGTGCTGACCCTGCCCTGAGCCTATTATTCTCTGCAGGTGTTTGACCCGTCCAGGTTTGCTCCTAATTCTGCTCGGCACAGCCACGCTTTCCTGCCCTTTTCGGGCGGGTCACGGTGAGGTTCTTGTAATAGAGTTGGGTTGGGAGGGAGAGT